GCCCTTTAGTTCATTGTTGAGTGCAATTATAGCTCTGGGATAAAAACTATTCAGAAGACGTGTGGTCCGAGTTTTAATTGTTCTGTATCTTCTGCTAAAACACCCAATTCATTATTTGTTTTCAAAAAGTAGCCTTTGTCTTAAGGAAAGCAACATTTCCTAGAAATCAACCCCTATTCCTCTTCTCTCAAATGACAAAATCTTGACAATACTTTTTTTTGTCCATGGTCAAGTTTTTTCAAACTCTGTCTCTGGCCAAACAGACAAAGTTTAACCCATGCTTGGATTCTCCGGCCAGTGCACAAGAGAATAAGGACATTTTCAAATAAATTCATTCAATCCTGCTTTATTGATAACACACTGGTGTGTATGTTTGAGAATAACTCTTTATATGCTTAAACAGAAATAGTTACCATTCTAGGGTCCTAACTGATACCAGTTAGGGGAAATATTAACAAATGCCACTGCTTAGGGTGCAGTATCTGTAGTCACCAGATTACTAGGCTCACTTGAAATCCTGAACATCTGTCTTTTGTCAAGCAGTTTGCCTTTGCAATCATCATTCAGATGTGTCTGGCACCATCAAAGGGCATCATGTTATATAGTGTCCGACTAATGACAGATTGTGACTTCAACAAGCAATAGAGGTCAAAAATAAATTTTGTTTCTTTTGCCAGTTAAGATTATACTGTCGCTGGGATTATAATTCTTCTAGCGCTATAGTTGGAAGCCTGAAACTGAAAATATAGATTCTCCTTTTTTCTATCCAGCCATAAAATATGTGGTACCTACCTGAGCAAACGGTGTCACAATCAAGTCATCTCCATGTCTACAAAACAAAACACAGAATATAAATCAATGCTGAATTCAGTACGTGTCATATTTTAAGATCCCCTTCTATAATACAGCTCAAAATCTTCACTATTTTATAAATTATTTTCATCAGCTTCCCCATAAGTTACTTCCTCTTGCTTTACTCTTTCCACCTCTGGTTGTCAGATGCATCATAAATTATAAAACAGTTGTAATTTAGTCATTTCTAAGCATCCATAAGGTGGTGACACAGTGGTTAGAATGCAGTACTGCAGACTACTTCTGCTGACTGCTGGCTGAGTGCAGTTTGGCAGTTCGAATCTCAGCAAGCTCAAGATTGACTCAGCCTTCCATCCTCCTGAGGTTGGTAAATTGAGTACCCAGATTGCTGGGGACAATATGCTGACTCTGTAAACCACTTAGAGAAGAATGTAAAGCACTGTGAAGCAGTATAAATGCAAGATGCTATTGCTGTCCATGACACCAAATTCACTTCCATTGGAAAAAAATAAAACTATATATTGTAAAAAGATCTCTATGAATCCCAGTCTGTTTTCTTACCATTTATAGCAAAGAATTCAGAAGTGGTATTCTTCTGGTTGACCCCAGTTTTGGTGAACCAGTAGCGGCAATGGCGGGAAGCTCTGCCCACCAGGGGTAGGTTTCAGGGGATACGCACGTATCCGTTCCTCAAATTTAGTATGTCTTCTGCTACCCGTTATTCTGGAGGCCTCATAACCTCCCATTGCCTGACCCCTTGCTTGCTCCCCCCGCCCACCCAGTCACCGCTCACTTGGCCCGCCTGTCCACACCAGGCTTGCCCTGCCAACAGCCGCCTCGTTACCTGCAATATCACTGCAGGCTACTGCTAGATCAGCAGGTCAGCGGTTCAAATCTCACCGGCTCAGGGTTGACTCAGCCTTCCATCCTTC